GCAATTTATGTAGTCAATCTTAGGGTTCAGAATAAAGGCATTGTTGTAAAACTACACCTATTTTACTGAGATGAAACATAGTTGTACTCTTGATTAGATCATCTAAACGAAGAAATAGACAATAAAGTAATGTCTGGACTATTCAGCCATACATGAAAAATGATGCTTGACTTCCACCCCATAAGAAAGTGTCTTAGTAAACCAGCTTTTTTATTGTGGTTTTCACTTGTTCGGAAAGACAGTGATTATGTTAAAGTATACAAGAATATTCCTTATCCCATACCCAACTCTTCATATCTTGAATCAAATATCTTGATGTTCTTGCTATTAATCATTATTTATTTCTTTTACCGCCTATTACAGTGGTGTAAATGTATATTGCCGAGACAAGTATTAGCCACATCACTCTTTTTCAATCTTCAATTCAAATCATCCCTTCTATAGTTCATGACCTTTGTTTCTACTACCATGGATTCTTTGATGATAATGCCCCCACTGGTATCGCCATATAAATAATGTTGAGCGCATGTATAGTTTCTCAAGTTAGGGGCTATCATGGTATACAGTGATTTGAAGAGCCCATATCTCATGTTCTTTGACCATATTCCTTAAATTTTTAATAGGGAACTTAGGGCCTTAGCCTAATATGTTGATGGAGAAAAATGAAAAGAGCTTAACATAAGGAAATACTAGGGAGTATTATAAGGATTACATCATGAGCTAGGAAATATCACACTGGGCTAATGCGTAGACATTTATACCTTGTTATGATACCGCTAACAGTCAATAGGTCATGTTAATTTTTGTAACAATTTCTGCCACTAAGTACCACTTTCCATTAAGGGTCGGTTTGGTTCATTTCCTAAAGATATAGAAAATGTAATCCCTTGCAAGAAATCATATCCAGTGCTTTCCATGCATTTCTTGGAAATGCTAATTTTGTGTTTGGTTCCCCATGATTATAGGAAAATAAAAAACAAGAAATGCAATCTCTTGTTTATTTCAAACTCCAAAAAATAGGAAAGCAAAACAAGAAAAAGAGAGATATAAAGAAGGTGCACTTTTTGTTCCTTTTCCTATAAATCCAGGTGTTTTCCTATTTTTTGGCCCAACCAAATAGCCCCTAAAAATCTTTTGATTCCTCTCCTTCCAAATCATCCATAAGACCTCCACAATAGAAGGATCTCATTCACTTTGAAGATTGTGTGGAACGCGAGACATCGGTCAAAACGCTAGAGATCCAAGGCCAAGAATGACAGCAATCTTAGTCATAATCAGCCACACCTCTCTACACTACAACATTCTAAAAGAAGGTGTTGGCAAATTCGGCTGCACTATCATAGTGGTACACATCAAAGGAACATTTATACCACACTTTGCTAGATTTTCTTTGGTGAGCAGGTGATTGAGGAAATCAACCAAGAATGACGCGAAATTTGAGTGGGGCTTCAGATGATTAGAAACAATATAAATAAATAGATCAAGGTGGGTGATTGTGATATTCCTTCAATCTGAGTTTCATAATGGCACTGAAAATATATAAGTTTGATGTGCATATGGACACACACATAAAAAAACAAAATAATCAATGCTATGGCAGGAGAGGCATGTGGAAAAAAGAGAAAAAAAGAGTTACTGCAGAGATTAAATCCATCAGATGATATTCTCTTATTTCTCACATACTTCATCAAATGACGGGGTGATGCAGGAAATGTTACATCTGCATAGATTAGCTACTATATAGATGTCAATAAAAGGTAGAGATTGATTGGAAACTCTTATTCCACATTGTTAATCCAATTTCTTTTCTTCCAGTATTGAATTATCTTTGGGAAGTCGGCTTTTCTCCATTCTTCTCTACATCCACATTGTTAGGTTCTTCATAAGCTTGTTTCTTGTTCTTACACATGCAATAGAGTACCAGCTGAAGGACTCCCATAGGAGTACCCAAGAAATTAGGTGCCTACAACAAATTTAGAGAGAGATGAGTTGATAATTTATGCTTGATTTCGTATTAATGCAATGCTAATTGCTAGTTTGCTGACCGCAATGAAGAACTCATGGCCTAAAAGGCCATATAGCATCCAGAGAGAACTAGCGAAGAAGGAGAAGAATGATAAATAGAAGGGCATGAACTCCACACTTTTTGTCTTGATCACTAGCCTCTGCAATTAAAGGGAAGAGTTGCAAGTTATTGTTGAATGTTTTTTTTTTTTTGTCTTGATCACTAGCCTCTGCAATTAAAGGGAAGAGTTGCAAGTTATTGTTGAATGTTTTTTTTTTTGTTGCATGCTAATTAGTTAAGCTTGCATATATCCCTGCATCAACAGAAGATAAAATTCTTAGACACATTTTGTTGAATCTTAGGCATTAAGCATGATTGTATTGTGTTAGATAGTTTAAGTCCTGTTCGACTTTCCCTGATATGGAGAAGTAATAACTTTGTCTTACTTATTATGTATTGAGTGGAATTTTCTGCATTCCATTCACAAATCTTTGCTTTTCGAAGTTCTACCTTGTCAGGATAGCTGTTTTATGTTCAGGTTAAAAAGGGGAAAGTTGGAACAGAAGACTTTGTTTGTCGCCTGTTAGGAAGTTTTTTGTCAGAAAACGTAAATGTTGAGTAAATTGGTTCTCGATTAAGACTGTAGTACCAGAATACCAGGTTTGAAGAGGTCCCAAAATGTCTTATGTTCAACCCTCATTGTTATCGAAATCAAAATTTATTTACTTGCCCCCATTTATTTTATCATTCAAATTGAAGCTCAAGGCAGTTCCATGCGGCCCACATGAACAGACTATTAAGTTTTATGTTAACTTAGCATATATTTTCCGTCCACATACCATAGCTACTAATGGGGAACCATACATGGCTATGGAAGCTACTAGAGAAACCACTCCAACAAACAATTTTCGGTGAGGGTGATCATGCAACACAAAACATGAAACCGATGCAGTCGCGCCGAATAGGATGATTACCACTGTCACCATCAGAATAACTAATTTCTGCAAAACACGCAGTAACATATGAATAAGTAGTAAGTCATCTGACATGACAATTCATGTTTTATGTTCTTTACTCTAATAAGAAGAAGATTTACAATTTTTAGTAGTTGGTAAATAAAATTGTCATTCTGAAACAGAAAGTTCTGCATATACAGATTCCACTTCCACACGTATATTCTGAGTGAAAACAGCGTTTTGCACCTAGCTTCATCTAAGAATTGAAAAGGATTTTTGGTGGTAAAAAAGTGTTTTCTTGAACTTCAATACTTCCAAATTACACAAGAAAATGCTCAAACATCTTGTTTCCTGGTTTTTGTGGTTAGCTTGCCAGCCAATATCTAGACATGTATATGCACATGGCTTCAATACATGTATGGAAGTTAGAAATTTATTGTATGAAACTCTATACTTCTACAAGCTGCAACAATGTTCATCTGTTACAATATTTCAACCGTATGTATCCACAAGATCACTTTATCAGATGACGGCGCACAATAAGTATATTAATCAATTAGTTCAGTTACTAGATCACATGTTTGGTCTCTATGGGGAAATACTAAAAAGAACTTCATCTTCTTTAATCTTTACTTTGTAGACTAATATGTTTAGAATAATTATAAAAAACTATTATCTGTTGAAGGCATAAAGATGCTTCTTTCTTCATCACTTATACATGAACCGGATATTATATGAACATGTCAGTTTGAGAATATCCGCTCTGAGTTGCAGATTCACTAGAAACAAGAAGAGAGCTTGCCTTACGTTTTGGTGATGAAAACCATACGTAAATTATAATGAATGAGGTCTCGAGAAGGATCCCTAAGCCATTGATGGTAGCCACCGTGAAGTTCTCCCAACCTTTGCTTACCACTGGCATACCAAACCAAGTATATAGAAGGCAATTCAGCAGAGCAATGATGTATGCGATGCATGAGAACTCCTCCGTACTTTCCTTTCTAATAACTCTTTTGAAAGTTAATCTGCAAAACAATAATTGGTGATATTTCTAGTGACGCTATCAGATTGTTCATATGAATGCAGGAACTCAAGATACAACAAATGAAGTACATGGGTGCTGTGTATAGGAACAAGGAGGCTGCGTTCCCTGCAAAAAAATACAAAGGTAAATTATTACAACATTCAGTATCTGTTTTCTTCGCATCACATGAAGGTGGTGGGGATTCAGGAATCAAGGAAATTAAATAGAAGACTACCCAATATTCCGACTGGAAATCGCATTCTCTCCCCCATTGTTCGAGTTTCAGAGGTAGACACCCAATGTTGACTGAGTGTGTTATAGCATACAGGCCTATTTATAGGGAATTCTGAAAGGATACCTTTATCATTACATTATTCTTAAGTGTTGTTCGCTGTTGATGCAAGCATTAGCCGCTTGTTTATGATCAGTGGAGTCTCTTGCTTGCTTTAGGACATTACGTATATACACCATCATTATTCTTTATTCTTAATCAGAATAATCGAAGCTGTACATTCTGCAATGCACCTTTCTTCTCCATGTCAATGACTGAAGCAAAAGCTACTAATAAACTCAAATACCTCTCTTATTACCGGAAATACAGAATACGTCTAAATCTTAGCTGCTTTTTCACTCGGTCAGCAAAAAGTTGGAATTGAGGCGGGCATGATAACTTTGAGTATTGTTATCTTGTGTACTCCAAAGTTCTCCTATGAGTGGAATCCACTGATAGGCATGATAACTTTGAGTATTGTTATCTTGTGTACTCCAAAGTTCTCCTATGAGTGGAATCCACTGATATGAATCATCTCCACGTGGAACACACATATCACGGAGGAGAACCATGCAAACCATTTTTAATCTCTTGAGACAACACTCTCCACGTGGAACACACATATCACGGAGGAGAACCATGCAAACCATTTTTAATCTCTTGAGACAACACTTTGCTTGTTGTTTAATTAGGTAAGCTAAGTGATTATTCCTGTATGATTACTTTGCCTTGTTAATTCCCCGGGAGAGTTCTACGCCATTCATAGAAAACCTTTAACGGCTGACAGTGCTTTGTCGATTGAAATTTTGGAAGAATTTCACTTATCAGGTACTATAGGTCAAAGAGGGGGCCATCTGAAAATTGATCCCTATGTTGTTCTTCTTGCGGTCTACCAAACTGCAACCACTTTATCATAATTCTAGTGGCTGATTCTTAGGCTTTTTTTTTTTTTTTTTTTAGAAAAAAGATGGAACACCCCAAAGATATTCCAGCTAGCGAAATTAAAATATAACTGGTTGTTACAAAAAATAGTTCATACTCCCAACCAAGAGTATGCACTAAAGTTCAAAAGAAGCTACTACAAGCGGTAACACTTAACCCCCCTGTATATACCTGGGAATAAGCTCCTAAAACAGAGTAAAATGTTTGACACCAATAACCAAAAAACCAAAAGGTAAACATCTAACAAAGTTTTCTTCCAGACAAAACACAAAGCATATAAAACTCTGTGAATTCTCATCATTCCAACCGAATCACCTTGATCGCATCATCCCTGCCTTCAAACTCATGAACTCCAGCAGCTATTGATCCAGCAGCTCTTTTTCTTCTTCTTTCCTGCATTCTGGCAGCTCGAGCAGAAGTCTCTTTAGATCCTAGCCAAAATGTTGAGAAAGTCACAATTTTGTTCAAGAGGACAAGAGAACTCTTCTGCTTATTAGAAAATAATCCGTCGTTGCGCTCTTGCCACACATACCAGAGAAGAGAACAAATGAAAACCTTTCTCTTCAAATTAGAATCTTCATCATTTCCACTGCTCCAATTTAGCCTAACCTCTTTTAAAGAGTTCATTCTAAAATCTTTATCAGTACTCAACTTGAATTGAATTGACCTCCAAATAGAGTATACAGACTCACAGTTGAGAAACATGTGTGAATGATCTTCATTCATTTTAGCACACAAACAACATGTCTTCTCTAAACAAACTCCTTTTTTATCCAGATTATCTTTCGTATTCAAGCCATTTCTTAGGGCCAACCAAACTAAGAACTTGACTTTTAATGGAACAGGAAGGTCCCATAAGTTTACAAAATCATATCTTAATCCACCATCAATAAGTAATTGATAAAAAGATTTAATCGAAAAATCTTTTTTTGCCTCCCATATCCATTTTCTTTTATCTTCATGTCGCCCAAAGGTAATTGAATTGATAAGATTCATCATGTTAAGATACTGTATGACCAAATCCCCAGTTAACTGTTTTCTAAAATGCACCTCCCATCTCCACATATTATTGTCATTAGACCTCATACTATTAATGGATGCGTAGGGGGATGAGGTGAGGGAAAATAAGGATGGAAATAAAGAGGCAAGAGTAAATGAACCTACCCATTTATCTAGTCAAAATAAAGCATGGTTTCCATTTCCAACCACCACATATGTACTGCATAAAAAACAGTCAGCAATAGTAAAAAGATTTCTCCAAAAATGTGAAAGTTTCAATCTTCCAGAATTTAAAAATTTTGTCCATGGTTTTCTTTCAAAATGTACATAACCACTAATTTGTTTCCAAAGTCCATATTTCCCATCAAACCACTTCCAAAGCCATTTTCCCAAAAGAGCTTTATTCATAATTTTTAGATTTTTAATTCCCAAGCCACCACATAATTTTGCTTTACAAACTTCTTCCCATTTAACCAAATTTGAACACCCTTTATGATCTAAAGATAAAATCCACAAAAATCTCCTTCTTATTTTATTAATTTTTTTTATTAACTTATGAAGGAAACAAAAAGAAAGATAGCCAAAAAATTGGTATAGAAGAAAGGACTGAATTAATCAGCACTAACATGCCTCCTCTTGATAAGGATTTACCTTTCCATAAGGATAATCTTTTCTCTATTTTTCAATCAAAGGGAATCAATCTTCTTTTTTTAATCTTCCAGGCCTTAATGGTATCCCAAGATAACTAATAGAAAATTTACCACTCTTGTAATTCATCATAGTGGTCAATTTTTGCTGCAAGGACTCATTATTTTCCAGAGCTATAAGAATACTCTTATTAAAACTAATCTTTAACCCAGAGGCAAGTTCAAAACAATATAGAATCAGTTTCAAAACTGTCAACTGTATTCTATCATTTTTGCAAAAAATCAAAGTATCATCTGCATATTGTAAACAATGAACTTTATGATCCATGTTAGCAGGGCCTAACCCTTCAATAAGGTGAGAATCCACAGCAAGATTTAACATTTTTGTAAAAGATTCTGTTACCAGAACAAAGAGAAGGGGTGATAAAGGATCTCCTTGACGAACTCCTCTTTTAGACATAATCCAACTTCCTGTTTTACCATTTATGTTAATGACAGATATACCCCTATTTAAGCATAAATTCACCCACTTAATCCATCTAACACCAAATCCTTTGGCTTTCAGAACTTCCAGAATAAAATTCTAGTCAAGCATATCATAAGCTTTCACAAAATCTAGTTTTAATAAAATCCCTCCCTTTTTTATTATGAAAACAATCATTAATGATCTCTTGGGCTGCAACCACTCCATCCAGGAGGAATCTATTTTTAATAAAACCAGATTGCATGGGATCAATGAGCAATTCAAGCTTAGTATTCAGTCTATTAGTAAGAACTTTAGTGATCATTTTGTAAATCACATTGAGAAGACTAATGGGCTTTTAATCATTGACTGTACAAGTCTCACTCTTTTTAGGAATCAGAACAATATGAGCATTTAATCATTGACTGTACAAGTCTCACTCTTTTTAGGAATCAGAACAATATGAGCATGGTTAAGTCTATTGATTTCTAATCTGTCCTCATAAAATTCCTCAAACAATTTCATAACATCATTTTTCACAGGGTCCCAAAACACTTGAAAAAATAAAGCAGGAAAGCCATTAGGGCTAGAAGATTTATCTTCATTCATGTCAAAAAGATCTCTATGAACTTCTTCCACTAAAAAAGGATGTTCAATATCATGAAAGTCCCAATCTGATACAGGGAACAATTTATTCCAATCAAGCTGGCATCTATTAGGAACATTTTGACCATAAATCTGGCTATAATGGTTAAAAAACCTGAGCAATACCATCCTCAGAACTTATTTCAACATCATTATAAGTAATAGATGAAATCAATGTACTTCTTTTTCTTCCATTGGCAATTTTATGGAAGTATGTAGTGTTTTGATCTCCCTCTTTGAGCCAATGAGCTTTAGCCCTTTGTTTCCACATTTGCTCTTCTTGAAATAAAATTTCAATTAGCTGCATAGTAATATCATCTTTTTTTTAACAACTCATCATCTGTTAGATCTCTATCCTCCTCTAACACTTCCCATTTTAAAACGTCTTCCAATAACTCTTTCTTTTTCTGTCTAACACTATAAAAATTGGAATGAACCCAATGTTTAATACATTTCCTCATAAATCTTAACTTGCCTACCATGTTTTTAGCGGCAGAAGTACTTGATCGAGCACATCTCCACCATAAATGTACACTCTTAGTAAACTCCTCAGATTGTAACAAATTTTTTTTCAAATATGAATTTATAAACAAAATGTTGATTATCTTCACAGTCAAAACTAATGGGAGTATGATCTGATAGTTGACTGCATAAGCCCTATTGTTTTGAAAAGGAGAGAGTATCCTCCCATTCAGAGTTGAAAAAAACTCTGTCAAGCCTAGCCATAGAAGGAAATCTTTTTTTATTTGACCAAGTGAATTTTCTACCATGTAAAGGGCTATCAATCAATTCTAATTCATTGATCACTTCATTAAAATTTTTCATTTCCTTTCTATGATTACTTTTACCTTTTCTTTCATCTGGATTGGAGGTAACATTAAAGTCCCCAGCACAACCCAAGGACCTGAGAAGTTATTTTTAACTTCTTTAAGCTCCTGCCAAAAAAGCAGTCTCTCACTATTACAATGAGGCCCATAAACTAATGAAACTATCCAAATAAAATTATTTTTTTATTTTGTAAAACCACTGTCAACATATATCCACTAGATTTCTCCTTCAAACTCTTCCATTTAAGAGTATTCCATCCAATCATAATTCCTCCAGAAGCTCCGTCAGCAAGATTACCCCCTAAACTTTTTGAGAATATTGTCAGTAATACAATTCAACTTAGTTTCTTGTAAACAAACAAACTCAAACCTATTCAGATGACAAAAGTCTTTAACCCCAAATCTTTTAGTACTCAATCCTAATCCTCTCACATTCCATGTAATCAACATATCAACATATACATAGCTCCACAAGGAAGATATATCCAGAGACTACTCATTGGTAGCTCTCTCTATCACCATTTGCCTTACTTTTTTTAGAGGATCAAAATCCTCTTGAGTCTCAAGAATAATAGCACATTTAGTAGCAAACTTCTGCAATTGATTGTTAGTGCAATTATCAAACAAAATAGGCACAAAAACAGATCCCAAAGAAGAAG